TCATCCCTACTCTTCACAGACACACACGCACGCACTTTCTTTCCTGATTTTGTTCTATTTTGAGGGTAAATAGTTGCTTCTTAACTATAATGTAGGTACCGGACTTGACAAGCAATTAAAGCAAACAATTTCCACTCATCTAACTTTGCCAAATTAGTCATCTGCCATCTGCTCTATCATCTGGCTCTCCTTGAGGTCTTGCTGCGAATCTGGAAGCGCTTGCTCTGACAAGGAGGCAGTGGATAAGCCTCCAAGCTGGCGGGGAACCCGAGGGATGGAGGTGACACGGGAGTGACACGTGGCCCGACGCCACTCACCACCACCCCCATCGTGCCAGCTCCAAGGAGGTGCTCGCTGGCTCTAGTGGTCAAACTGGCAAATTACCAGCATGCAAGCTGTGATAGAAAAGCATCTGAAAATAAAGATTTCTTTTATGGCCACTTATATGGCATGGTAGCTTAGAAGGAGCGTGGGATTCTCTTACTGGGTACAGGATGCAAAAAATAACTGACTTTATTGAAATGTCTTCAGCGTTTACAATTTAATTTCCAATGAAGCACATGATCTAAACAAGCAATTAATAGACATTATCTAAGACCCTTTTCATCCCTACTCTTCACAGACACACACGCACGCACTTTCTTTCCTGATTTTGTTCTATTTTGAGGGTAAATAGTTGCTTCTTAACTATAATGTAGGTACCGGACTTGACAAGCAATTAAAGCAAACAATTTCCACTCATCTAACTTTGCCAAATTAGTCATCTGCCATCTGCTCTATCATCTGGCTCTCCTTGAGGTCTTGCTGCGAATCTGGAAGCGCTTGCTCTGACAAGGAGGCAGTGGATAAGCCTCCAAGCTGGCGGGGAACCCGAGGGATGGAGGTGACACGGGAGTGACACGTGGCCCGACGCCACTCACCACCACCCCCATCATGCCAGCTCCAAGGAGGTGCTCGCTGGCTCTAGTGGTCAAACTGGCAAATTACCAGCATGCAAGCTGTGATAGAAAAGCATCTGAAAATAAAGATTTCTTTTATGGCCACTTATATGGCATGGTAGCTTAGAAGGAGCGTGGGATTCTCTTACTGGGTACAGGATGCAAAAAATAACTGACTTTATTGAAATGTCTTCAGTGTTTACAATTTAATTTCCAATGAAGCACATGATCTAAACAAGCAATTAATAGACATTATCTAAGAAAGATTTAAGTAGTCTCTGCTTCCAGCACCTGGCTTAGTTCAGGTAAGGCCTCATTTTGAGACAGTGGAAAGGTTTGGTTTTCAAATAGCTCTGAAACACAATGCCAGTCTCCTCTGCCCTCCAACTTCTGAGCACTGGCAGGACCTTTCTCTATTACCAGGTTTCCAGTTTGGGGTCCTTACTGGGTATGATCAAGAATATCACCAGCACCCCTTTTCCAACTGATCTACATTTCCTCCCCGAGGAAATTAAATATCACTCCAGAGTACAAGTTAGTCCACGCAAATGTTGCTGTAGCTCTGAACCGTCACGCAGAGGAATTGCTCTGCCTGTTGTTCTGTTCTGTTGCTGAAGACCATCACAGACCGCCTGTTCCTCCACTAGTCTCCAGTACTGCCACTTGAGCGCAGCTTGTGAATCTAACTCTTAATGCCAAGAACCAAAATCTTCCTTACAGTAGCAAAGCACAGACCGTCACCAATGCCTTTGAAGATTACTAAGTCTGCAAATAAATGATCATGAGTAATACAAGGCCATGTGTTCTTGGGCAGCTAAACACAGAGTGAAGTGCCAAGCTGAAGCCCTAAGAGTTTGCAAATATTGCTCTCCCCACTTTCCAACCCTCGTCCTTCCCAAGACCCACTCAAACACAGCGGTAATGGTTCACCCAACCTGCTTCCCTCCATCACTGCATCATGGTGTATCCTGCATTCCTTCCAGGGCAAAGTGGTAGAAATCTCTACAGGTCTCAGCAGTGGAAAGGATTTGGGTTGCTTTTCCAATGCCAGGGGAAGGAGCAGGGGGAAGACGATGGAGCACAAACCACAAGCACCAGGTGAACACATCCACAAGTGGGGGGAGCAGAGGGGCGCCAGGAACTTGGACTGGTTTTCATACAAGTTCCTTCAACACAAATCAATTTAGCAAGGGATGCCAATAACATCTGCTGTGAGCTTGGCCCAAAATCACTTCCCAGTCCACAAACCAGGCTGCTTTGCAAAGGGCTCCTTCCCCCCTGCAGTGTTCTCCTGGGGGCCCGGGGGTGCTCAGCTTGCACAGAGCATGGCCATAGTGCTGCGGCT